GAGACCTGGGTTCGATTCCAGCCAAGGGCATGTACCTCAGTTGTGGTTTATCCCCAGCCCCGGTTGGGGTTGTGCGGGTGGCAGCCAGAGTCTGTGTGTCTCTCTCACATCGATGTTTCTCTCTCTCTCTCCCTCCCACTCTGTCTGAAGATAAATGTAAAAAATATCCTCGGGTGAGGATAAAACAAACAAACAAACATGGTAGAAGCTCCTGAGTGGTTAACTCAGTGACAGTGAGAGATTTAAGTCATTGTTATCTACATTATAGCTGTGTGGGAAGCTGTTGAAGGTTCTGCAGGGGAGACTGAGGCAGAGAAACCCCCCTCCCCCCCAGCAGCTGGGCAGCTTGTCCTAGAAAAAGAGGTAAGGGCTTGGTTTTCCCAAATCCTTGGACTGAGGTGGCAAAGCTGGGGGAGACAGCCACAGCAGCATCTGCGACTGAGTCCTGGGCCCAGCTGCCGGCGGGCGCGTGGGCACCGGGGCAGAGGGGATGGGAGTGCATGGAGGCAGGCGGGACGCCCCGTCCCCAGCCCTGCCCTGCAGCTCCCTGGACCTCTGCAGTCCTTTCCCCTCTGTCTCCGTGTCCCCATCTGCAAATAGTGCAGAGGCCTCCTGCTCCCTGAGCTTTGCTCCAATGCCTAAGGCCTTGGGCAGACCAAGGCGGGAATTCTGGCTTCAATCCCCTTCCCTCTTAAGCTTCAAGTTCCCTGTCTGTAAAGCTGAACGCCCTCTACAATACGGGTCTTTGAAAGTGAATAGAAAACTGTTTTCAGATAGCTCAGCACAGAGTGAGTACTAGCAAAGGAACCTCTTCTAAATCTGCACGGTCGCTGCCACCAGGTTGAATCTGTCCGAGCATGTGCCACTGCTGACCAGGTGATCTTCATGCCAGGCTAAGGGCACAGCGGTTCCGGCTTTAGTCCCTGGAACAGAGACAAGGAGCATTTCAGCTGGGCAAGAAGCGAGCCTTCGTCTTGGAGCCTTTGTATCAGAGCCTACTCTAATCGCCTGTAGCTGTAATAATCAAAGAGGAAGCTCTTAAAATGGGGAATTATGTATCACCTTCGCTACAGAATAGCCCTGGGCCTGGCGCCAATGAAAACAGCACTGGCACAAGCCAGCAAGACAGCGCCTGCCGGGGCGCCTGTGGAGGGAGCTCGTTCCCAAGCGCTGAATCATGGGGTGGGCTGTTGGGGGTGATGGGGAGTTAGTGGGCCTCATTGAGTGTCATCTGAGATCAGGAGAGGCTGGCAGAGGGACAGCAGAAGCAGAGCCAAGAATTTGGGCACATCATGGTTACTGTCACAAGTTTCATGACCTTGGGAGTGTCACTTGGCCTCTCTGGGCTTTGCTGATTGCACCCTGAGTAGGACTGACCCCAAGGTGAGGTTGGACCCGATAATAATCACAGCAGTCATAACCACAGTAATACTAGCAGCTACTATTTAAGGAGTACTTGTCACATGCCATGTACTGTTGCAAGCACTTTCTATGCACCTCTCATTCAGTCCTCACAACCTCTCTGTGAGGTGGGTATGAGTATCCTCACTTTACAGATGAGGACCGTGAGGACCTCTTGCCTGAGGTCACCCAGCCAAGAAGTGGCTGTCAGCTTCTAGGCTAGGGCTCACCCTTTGATTCCTGCAGGGGCTAGGCAATTACTAGAGGGTCTGGAGCACCCATGCAGGGAGTCTGAGCCCGAGGGGGGATGAATTAAAGCAGTTCTGTGGGGCTAGTGTTCCAAGGAGAAGGGGGCCTGTACTGGGAGCCCCAATAGGTCTTGGGGAGGAACTGGTATTTTCTTTGGGGAGTGGTGGACGGTTGGGTAGGAGGGCCTTATGATCTGAGTGTACTTTGTAAGTTGCCTTTAGCTGCAGTGTTGAGAATAGATTGGGGGGTGGTGGGTGGGCAGAGTAACAGCAAGCAGGCCTGTGAGGAGGCTGCCTCCTATTCCCTTGGAGGACTATTGGGGCCTGGAGCATGGTGGTTGCCATGGCGATGGAGAGAAGTGGGTGGATGCCAAGAATGTATGAGAGGCAAAATCCACTGTCTTGCTGCTGTGGGCTTCTCTAGGTACAGGGTGGTCAAACACCCCAGAGGGGCTTGGAATGAGCCCCCTGAGAGGGAGTTGGAGTGTCTGCACCTGGGTGTGACCTCATCCAGGCGTGAGTGAGCACTGGGTGAGACCATGGAGGATGGCCTGGCCTGAGGGAGCCAGAGGCAGGGCTGCTGGCCTTGGGTTCTCAAAGGGCAGGTGGCTTGTGACGGCAGCAGCCACTGGTGGGACAGGTAATGGTGAAGGAGGAGCACGTCTCTGTATACACCTGGGAATGAGGGTCAGTGAAGCCCCCACCACACCAGGCACACGACAGGCCCCTGCTCTGCCTCATTCAGGCCCTATCCCCATGCAGCTTGACCATGAGGGTTGGAAAGATGGGGTCCTGAGTGTGGAGGATGGCCTGGAGGCCTCACCTTGTAGGAAACCAGAGCCCAGAGCAGAGCAGGTCTCAGAGTTGTTGCTGCCCCTCTCCCCCCATGTTTCTAGAGGGCTCTCTGAGTGCCAGTGTGGCAAGTGGGTCTGGGGCCCGGAGGGCAGAGCCGGGACTCTCAGGGTAGACCCCAGCTCCGGGTGGGGAAGAGCGTTTGCCAGTCTCAGCTGCCTCTGTGAGCAGAAGCTGGCCACTCCCCTCCATCTGGCTGACCTTGTGAAGTGCCTGCCAGCTCTGAGATCCAAGGAGAGCCCAAGAGGGTGGAACCAACCTTTCTTGGAGGCTCAGGGGTCATTCCTTGAAAAACATCTTCACTAAGAGGGAGTTGAGTCCCACATCCTCCAATTATGCTCCCATCCAGCCAGCCCACAATGGGTCGTTCAGATAACCATCGGGGGCTGCACAAATTAACACTGGAACAATGCTGGCTGCTCGGGCTATTTTTACAGTAGCCATACGCCCGGCCGAACCCCCGCGTCGCCCCGAGGGAGCAGGGCGAAGAAAGGCCATGCGGAAGCCGCCACCAGTCTGCGCTCTGGGAGACAGAGGAAGGGCTCAGCGAGCCGCCCGGCGGCTCCAGGAAGCCTTTTCTTGGTCTGCTCACCACCAGATAGCAAAACAATTGGGGTCCCCCACCCCGAGCCAGGGAGAGGAAGGAGGCGTGGGGGAAACAGGGGTTCTGTTGTGCTTTTGTGCCTCTGCTCCTCAGAGCACAGCCCCTGTGGGCCTGGCTTCTGGGGCCGGGCCAACACGTCCCCTCTCCACACCCCAGTCCTCGGGCAGCCCCCACCTTGCTCTGTCCGGGACAGCTTTCTGGGCTAGGCAGCGTGGAATGCGAGGCTCGGAGGCCCAGTGACTCGCCAAGTCCCATGGTTGGGAAGTGACCAAGCCAGCGTTCACACTTAGCACCAGCTGCTTGCAGATCCCACCCTGGGAGCCATCTACCCAACAGTTTGTGCTTGACAACCTACTGCGCACCAGGCTCGGGGCAGATAGTAATGGACAAGATAGGTCCTTGTCCCCATGGAGGCAGTATTCTAGTTCAGGAGGAGACAGTTAACAAGGAAGCAAGGATGTAAATCAAGACATCTTCAGGTAGTGCCAAGCAGTTTGACAAGACAGACTCAGAGGCCCACCGATGGTGTCCTGTGAGCTGGGTGGTGAGCTGGCCCGATGTGCCCACGTGATGTGGCCACATCCGGTCCAGCTGATGGTTGCCAATAGGAGCGTGAACTAAACATGGTCCAAGCTTCCAGTTTTTCAAGAGAACCTAGAAATCTTGACTTTTCTCTGAAATCTGATATTTTCAATGTTGGCCTCCGGTTTGGATCATGAAGACAAGTTGTGTCCCTGGCTGCTTGGTTCCGAGCGGTCACCTTTGCCATTATCCTTTTCATTCTGCAGGTGGAGAAACAGGCTCAGAGAGGGGTGGATAGGCCCGCTAGCTCTGGTCCTCCAGCTCATCTGTCTTCTGTGAACCTCTGCCACTTCGGGGTAAACCCTTGAAAGCACCCTCTCCCTCTGGGCTGAGCTACCAGGGAGAGTGAGAACTCGGGGGCCTGAAGAAAAAAGGGGCTCTGCCCTGGCTGGTGGCAGATGCCCTCTGTTGTGGGGTCCAGTCGGGGGTGGGTTGAGAGTGACCACAAATAGCTCCTGAAGGCTTAAGGATTTGCCTTCCACTGGGACCTTCCATTGCCAAACCCAACAGGGAGTCAGAGGACAGGGAGCCCGGATGGTACAGGGGTCAGAGCAATCCAGAGAATGGAGGGAGAGGGGTGACCAAAGGGAAGTTAACTGGCTTTCTTACATAATCCTCACCAGTGCAAACCCATTAGGTTTTAGGCTGCAGAGATGTGACTGGTTAAAGAATAGCAAATATAGTTCATAAACATCCATTTTCCATACTTTGATAGAAACCCCATTTTCAAATATTGTTTCCATTCCAGCCTGAAACCCCCTTTGTCATTCGTTTTATGTTTATCCATTCTTTAAACAGCCAGGCTCAGGCCCCTCCTGCACGCCCGGCACTGCTGAGTCATGAGTGAAATGGGAGCTGTCGTTTTCTATGCAAATCTGCAATTTAGAAATAGTATCTATTTCTAGAAAATACAGGCAGGCATTCTTTGGAAGGTGCCTTAGAAGTGCCTGGGGTGTGTCGTGTTTTGTAGAAATGATGCCAGGCCAGGGGTGGCTTCATGCTTATCTGCTTGCAGGTGCAGGATGAGGTATGACATTCAAGGACGACATACATTGGGTCCCCGGAGCTTCTCCTCAGCTGTTGTCTGTGGAATGGGATCTGTCAATTTCTGAATCATTAGGTCCCTGATTGCCTAGAGGGGGCCTGAATCACTCAGGATGTTGTCAGATCAGTGGACAAACAAGGGGATGGCAGCCTCCCTGCCACAGGCCTGGGCAGGTCAGAGCCGGCCCATGGGTGAGATGGGAGAGGTCGTGTTGACATGCAGCCTGTACTTACCAACCATATGCTCGGTTCCGTTTTGTCCCCCATAGAAAGCAAGGAGGAGATGGCCACCAAGGAGAAGCTGCAGTGTCTGAAGGACTTTCACAAGGACATCCTGAAGCCATCCCCAGGGAAGAGCCCAGGGACAAGGCCCGAGGATGAGGCTGAGGGGAAGCCCCCCCAGAGGGAGAAGTGGTCCAGCAAGATCGACTTTGTGCTGTCCGTGGCTGGCGGCTTCGTCGGTTTGGGCAATGTCTGGCGTTTTCCGTACCTCTGCTACAAAAATGGTGGAGGTGAGTCTAGGCTGGGCAGAGAGAACCGGGTGGGGCCAGAGTGGGGGTGGCCTCTTGTGACCTGCTTTCCCTAGTCCCCACCTTGACCTCTCTCAATCAGCCTGCCACACCCTTGCCCCGCCCACCCCACCTCCGAGGCCGAAGAGGAACATGCCTGGGAATCAGGTGGTGTTCTTTCAGGGTCTTACTGTGTTACCTTGAGACCTGTTACCCTCTCTGATCTTTCAGTTTGCCATCTCTGAACAGGGGTGATGAGGCCAGGCCCACGTCCCCCAAACTTCCAACATGACACACTCCCTTCATAAATTTCCTCTTGTCTCCGTGCTCCCCAACTCCTCCTTACGTTATATATTTCCTATATTTGCTTTGGCTTTTCTAACTTAAACCAAATATAGTTCAAAAGCAAACTTTGTTTCCCCCATAAATGGAAAACCAGTATCATTTGCCATGATGGAAAGGTATCCCGGGGAAAAAAAAAGGAGAAAATATTTATTTTTCTTTTTTAATTAAAAAGTGATTTCTAGTTTTATTGATGTATAACATTGTATTAGTTCCAGGTGTATACCACACTGATTTGATATACGTATATATTGCTCAATGATCGCCACAATACGTTTAGTTAGCACATATCACCTCACAGTTATACATTTTTTCCTTGTTATGAGCAATTTAAAAATTCCTCTCTTAGCAACGTTCGAGTATAGTACAGTGTTATTCACTGGAGTCACCATGTTGTGCATTCCATCCCCAGAACGTATTTTATCTAATAACTGGAAGCGTGTACATTTTCATCACCTTCACTCATTGGAGATATTTTTTAAATGTAAATGTCTGGTTGGTTTGGGTTTTTTTGTTTGTTTGTTTTTTCAACCTGAAGGCTCTGAGCTAGAATCCTCTCCTGCCGGAGGTGTCCGGGCCGGGCAGCACGTGCTGGGACCTTCTTGCTGTGCAGTAGGAGGGGCCTGAGAGAACTGGGCAGGAGAACGGTCTGTCAGCAGAGCCGGGCATGCTGTGTGCAGCTCGCATTAGGAGAACGACCTTCCAGGAAATTCTGCCTTAGAGTCTGGTTTCTTAACCTTTTGTAGGTCTCAGGTGCCTTTGGGACTCTGATGAGTGTTCTAGACGCTCCCCAGAGCAAATCGCACACACATAGACCCAAGTTGCCCACAGTTTCAAAGGGTTTATGGACCCGCTGAAGCCATTAATTGACTACCAGGTAGGAACCCTTGCCCCGACTCTGCCCCTCACTCCTCCCGTGGCTCCCACCCCCAGCTGGAGGTGCCCACCTCTTGCTTCTCGTCACCGCACCCTTCTTAGCTAGTCTGCCTCAGCTTCCTGCCCTGGGCAGACCTGGGGACAGGTAGGTGAAGCTTCAACAAGGAGTTCATATTGGAGATGGGTCTTACGGGCTGAGCGGTCCTTATTCAGGTGGACAATGCGGGGAAGGCAGGCAGGCAGGCACAGCTTACCCGGAGGCTCAGAGGCTGAAAGCACCTGGTAGATTTGAGGAAGGTGAGAAGGCACACTGGACAGTGATGCCAGCTGGACAGGTGGGCAGGGCCTAGAGAATTTTCAACCATGCCCAAGAGTTTGACCTTGACCCTCATGTCCCTCACTCATTCTCTCTGATTTCATTGGCTGGGAGGGCTTAGGAGAGAGCACCTGCAGTCTTGGCCCCTGTGATGGCCACGGCCTGACCCTCACCCCACTCTGCTCTCTCCACAGGTGCATTTCTCATACCGTATTTTATTTTCCTGTTTGGGGGCGGCCTGCCTGTGTTTTTCCTGGAGGTAATCATAGGCCAGTACACCTCTGAAGGGGGCATCACCTGCTGGGAAAAGATCTGCCCCTTGTTCTCTGGTGAGTATGGGATAAAGATTACCTGGGGCCGGGTGTTCATTGGTTCAGCAAATTTTTATTGAGCACCTGCTGTTTGCCAGGTACATTGAAGCCTCATGCAAGTGACTTGGCACTGTGCCTGACACAAGGTAGCAGCAGGTACACAATATGTGTGATGCTACCCACCGTGACAGCTCAGTACATACTAGCTGTTCCCACCTCTCTGGGTTGTTGGAGGATAGAGAAGCTAGTAGTCGCTTAGGAGTAAAGTGCAGAAGATAGGCACTCGGATTCAGGGACCTTGCTGTCTCGGTTCGAGTCCATCTTTCTCTTGCTAGCTCTTGTGACTTTGGGAAAGTTACTTAGTCTCTTTGTGCCTCAATTTCCTCATCTGTAAAATGGAAACAGTATGCCAACTTCATAGGGTTACCATGAAGACAGAATGACATAGTCATATAAGAGTGCTTTGTCCATATGGTAAGCCCCAAATTAATGGTAGCTTTATTATTATAACTTTTACTCCTATGTCTAGCACCAAGTATGCATTCATAAGATAATACTGTTATGATTATAATTGGCAAGGATAGGAGGATGTATTTCTACTTAGTCATCCACATAAATCTATCAATATATCATCCATCAAACCTTCATTAAACTAGTCAATTTAGTTAGATTATCCATTCATCTAGCCCTCATCTATATGTCTACCCATCTACTCATTCATCCATCTATTCATCTACCTAACCTTCCAGCTAATCCTCAGCCATCCATCCATCCAACAAATCAATAATGTCCATCAAGTTTGTCCAAACAAACAATATCTGTCCATCAATGCGTCATCTACCCATTCAGATATTCATTGGTCCATCTAACCATCTAGCTAACCGTTGATCCATCAAATCATCCCTTCATTGATCGGTCCCACCTCCCTGCATTCTTCAATTCATCCAAGTGTCCCATTTATGTAAACATCCATTTTTTTCACCTATCCATCCTCCCAGTCATCCATTCATTCTACAAATATTTGCTGGTCACTGTTGAAGGTCCCCAGGGGGTGCCATGGCCTTTCATTTGAGTATGTGTATTTGAGTATGTGACCATAATGGGTCTGGCTTTCCTCCTGATGCTTATCTCGCTTGTCCACCCCCAGGCATCGGCTATGCCTCCATCGTGATTGTGTCCCTCCTCAATGTATACTACATCATCATCCTGGCCTGGGCCACATACTACCTGTTCCAGTCCTTCCAGTCGGAGCTGCCCTGGGCGCACTGCAACCACACCTGGAACACGCCCCATTGCTTGGAGGACACTATGCGCAAGAACAAGAGCCTGTGGATCACTCTCAACACCAGCAACTTCACCTCCCCTGTGACCGAGTTCTGGGAGTAAGCTTGGCCTCACTAAGGAAGGAGGGAGGGCGTGGGTGGGGGCAGAGAGGACAGTTCCCTCATCTTCTCCCCAGTGATGTGGGCGTCTGTATCTTGGGGTGGGATCGGGGAGAAGGTGGGTACAGATTTGGAGACAAATCCTCGCCTTTGGTCTCAGGCCTGGAATCAAGTCCCAGTTCGGCCATTTTACTGGCTGTTTGAACTTCAGCAAGTCTCTGCCCCTTTCTGAGCTTCAGTTTCTTTAACTGTCAAATGAAGGGAATGAATTGTTCCAACACCCTGGCATCTCTATGAGGATTTTTTCCCAAAGGCAGGTATATGTACTTATATTGTCTAAAAATGATGTCGTTTTCTTAATTATTTTAGAATACAGTTAGCATATTAAACCTGTCATTGCACAGAGAAAATGCGTATATGAAGCTGAAGTAGTTAGTCCATTTACAAGGTGAATAGACAGAATAAAAATTATGTGTCAGTTAGCTTTTGCTGTGTAACAACGGCCCCCAACTTGGTGGCTTTATTTATTTAGAGAGAGAGAGAAATAGAAACATCAATGTGAGAGAGATACATTGATTGGCTGCCTCCTGCACGCCCCCTACTGGGAACAGAACCCACAACCGGTCATGTGCCCTGACCAGGAATTGAACCAGGACTTCTCAGTCCATGCAATGACACCTAATTCACTGCGCCACACCAGCTGGGCCAACTCGGTGGCTTTATTTTTTGTTTGTTTGTTTTTGTATTTATCTCCAGATGGAGCAGGAGGGAGAGAGGGAGGAAAAGAGAGAGAGAAACATCGATGTGAGAGAGACACATCAAATGGTTGCCACTCACATAACCCCAACCAGGGCCGGGGACAAACTGCAACCGAGGTATGTGCCCTTAGTGGGAACCGAACCCAGGACTCTCTGGTCCGGGGGTCAACACTCTAACCACTGAGTCAAACCGGCCGGAGCCAACTTGGTGACTTTAAACAACAAGCATTTATTTGGCTTGAGGTTCTTCTGATTGGAAATTTGGGCTGAGCTTGGCTGGGTAGTTTTTCTGGTCTTTGCTGGGCTCCCTCATGGGTGGATTACCTGCAGGGCATCATGGTAGCTCTTCTGGGGATTGGCCGCTTATTGGCTGGGGTGCCAGGGTCCTTATGGTCTCATCACCCTGCAAGCTACCCTGAGTTTATTCAGAGGCAGCTCGACATTCCAAAGCAACCCATGGGAAAGTCCGTGCAGGAATACTCCGTATACCTCTGCTTGGGTCATTTGTGTTAATGTTCCATTGGCCAAAGACAGTCACAAGACTAACCCAGTTTCGAGCAAGTGGTGGAGAAATGGGTTCTGTCTCTTTTTGAGAGGATTGGAGAATCATGGGCACTTGTACAGTTCACCACCCTGTTGTCCAGAGGAGTGCGCACACAGGACAAACATCAGAAAGGCAGAAGGTGGAGGGGCCTGAGGTTCGGGTACCTCTTAGCTGGCACACGGGAAAGTTCTTCTAACACGGTCCTCGGGGGCAATTAAACTTATATTAGTGCACCACTTCCCCAGCTCTCCATGTGGGGCTCAGCACTCGGGTGCGGCCCCCTCTATCTGCAAATTACTGAGGTAAAGGAACCTTGAGAGCCAGAAGCAGGGAATGCTGTTAAGGAAGCAGGTGGACCCTAATCATCAGTGTGTGGCTTTGCTGTTTCCAAGGTGTCTCCCCAGCTGTTAGAACCCGGCCCAGGAACAGGCCCACAGAAGAGGAGTTGCCCGCTGGTCGGGCCCAGGCATGCGTTAGGGCCGGAGCTGGGAAATAATAGGCAAGGTCAGTTCAGTCCTCACTCGGGTGGTGTATGCCTCTGTCGTGACACGTGGGCCTTTCAGTATGTACCCCCAGGTCCCTGGGGCTACTTGGACTGGGGCTCTTTGTGTGTCCATGTTTTCCACTTGCAGACAAAGAGGGCATTACCAGCACATTCATCTCCCTTCAGCTTCCCACCCTTAGAGAGTCGAGTTTACAGACAAAGAAATGCAGCACATCATTCTTCTCGTTTGAATGGGGCCCGAGACGACGGCCTGGCCGCTCTCTGCTGTTCCTGGCACAGCCTGATCACCCGGGGCCTGCCCAGTGCGACACTGGCCCTCAGCCAGCCACTCGGGCGCCTGCTGGGGGCCTCATTGCCTCAGGCATGGATTGGCTGCCTGGGTTCGAACCCTAGTTCTGCTACTTCTAGCCCAGCCAAGGTCTACTTCTCTAGACCTCGATGTCCTCACCTGTACCTGGAGAGGGCATAGCACTGAGTCACCCTACCTCAAGACTGTGTGTGGCCAGCCCCGAGAACCTGTGTGATAAATGTGGGTCCTTGTTATTTATTTCGTGTCCTCCTAGTGGATAAAACTGCTCCTCGAGCGTATTTGGAACTCAAAGTGATATGGCCTTCAGAAGGACTGAGAAAGGCCCCCTCGTGAATGCCCATATTGTCCCCCATATTGCGAAGGGGTTCCTCTTTGCTCATCTCCCGAGGGCTCTTGAAGATGCTCACATGGGCAGTGAGGTCCTCGGTGCGTCTAGTCTTCTCTCTGCCTGTGTCCCAGGCTGGGCCCTCCTGGGGGATTCTAGGTCCCTTACCTTCCAGATCCCATTCTGAGTGCCCCAGCTCTCCTTCCTGCCCGGCAGACGTTAAGAGAGTGATTATCTTTGCACATTTCCTGGTCCTGCAGGCACCTTCCTAAGCCCTATGTGATCCAGATAGACTTGCTCAGTCCAGACAGCTCTGGCCACCTGTCTGGTGCTCCCTTCCCACTCCAGCCTTCGCGCCCCTCCTCCTGGGTTCTAGCAGAGCTGTACGCCGCCTGAACATCCAGAAGTAACTCGCCCTCTTTCCAGCACACTGGAGGACTGGAGCCACAGAGGAGGAGCCTGGGAAGCAGGTTTAGGTGAGAGGACCCGGCCGGCCGCCTGTGTGAGCAGAGGCTGAGGCCAGTGAGCTGGGCCAGGGCCTTCCGCTCAGTGCCTGCCTGAGTCAGGCACAGTGGACGACAGGGGCCTGGCCGCCTGCCCTCAAGAGCCTTCTCTTCTCTTGGTCACGAAAGAGGAAAAGATAACGAATGTGGAATGACCGACTCCCATGAACATTGTGCCAGGGTCTTGCCCCTAACTTTTCATTTTATCTTTACAGAGGCCCTGTAAATGGGGTGATTCCCAAACTGCTTTCTACCAGAAATCCCACTTCCAATTCACAGGTCCTCCTGGCTCTCCCTTTAAAGTATATTCAGAGCCTGACCACACTCCCCACTTACACTGTAACCTCCTCCCTCCACCTTGGGGCCCCTCCTGACTCTCCCAGGCCCCAGCACTGCATTCCCCGCCTTGCCCTGGCATCTCTGCAAGCAGTTGTGAACCCAGACATGTCATTTCCCAGCTCAGAGTCCTCATGGCTTTTCCCACACTGTGATCTCCTCGAGCCAGAGCGGATTTTAAGCGTTTCAACATAGTAAATGCTCCCCGATGGCTGATTCTCCTTATTAATTGCATGTCTGCATCCATTCAACTGTGTAGCCCTGAGCAGAAAGTTACTATCCCTCTCTGGCCTCATTTTCCCATCTGCAAATGGCCATAAGAGCTGGGCTTTGAGGGATGAGTAGAAGCTCACTAGGCTGAAAAGGAGAGAGAAAGGACATCTGGGCAGAAGGAACAACCCATGCATCCTGAGAGCACATGACTGTTTTGGGAACAGCAAGTCATTGGTTGGGGCAGAGCATAGGATACATAGGGTCAAGGAAGGAGGCCTCGAATGTTAGGCTAAGTTTGAGCTTTGTTCTCTAGAAGGGGGAACCATGGAAGGAGTATGAGAAGGGGAGTGATGTGCTTGAATCTGTGTTTTCTGAACATTGCTTAAACAACACACTCGTGGGGGAAAGGCTGGGACAGGTATTATGCACTGACTGTATACAGGGCCTCCGAGGGCTCAGCCATCAGCGGGCCTGGGTTCCCTTTGGGGCGAAACTTAGCTTATATGCTTTCCCCTGAAAATAGCTACCAGCTCCATAGAGACCAGCGGTGGGGTTTTCCTTGAGAAAGGCTTGCTGAGGTGCCCATGCCCCTCAGATGGAGCCCGGTCCTAGCCATTGTTTCCTTTCACTCCCCTCAGCAGCAGCAGAGGCACGGGTCTCCAAGCGGCCGTTTCCCTGGGCAAACGGTGCCTGGCGGGTGCTCAGGAGCTCCCTGGGAATCAAGACAACGAGACACCTTGGGACCTGAAACTTCCTTCTGGCCCTGGGCAGAGGGACCTTGTCTATGAGCCCTGTGCCCTCCAGTTTATGGGAGGAGGTAGTAGCGAGCAGTGGGTGATGCTCCCATCCCTTAGAGGGGGAGACTGACTCTGGCTCCCACATGTTCCAGCTGCAAATCCTCGGGGCAGTCACCTGTCCAGAGATCAGAGAGAGCATGGTCCCAGCACCTCACAGTCTGGCTTCAGTGTTACAGAAGCTAAGACGGGGCCTCGGGCATGGCTTATTAGATAGGACACTGAGGACCAGAGAGGGTAACTGACTTGCCAAAGGTTACTCAGCAGCTAGACATAGCAGAGTTCCCAGCTCTGACCTCAGATTCTGGCTGCCACCTCCAGTGGCTGTGTTTCCTTAGCTGTAAGTCCACTGTCACAGGTAACACTGTGCCGGGTGTGTGCCCCCACTCTGAGGTCATGCGTGGGGCCTTCTCTTGGCCTGGATCCCCCGTGCCCACCCATCTGCGATGCTAAAGTGCCGTGCTCAGCAGAAGCCAGTGTGATGCCCTGACCAGATCCCTGGGAAAGCCACCTGGGCTCCTGAGACAGTCATTACATGCTGGCTTTATAATTGAACTCTGAGTCACTGTATGATGGGGATGCAGAGCCTCTTCTTCTGGTCAACTTCGTCCTGCTCTGGGGTCACCTCTGACCTGAGGGTCGTGCTCCCCCGCCCCCCGCCCCTGCCCTGGAAGACAGGCGGGGCTAGATCTGGCCGAATGCCCTCCCTCAG